TTTCAGATGAGTTTTCCATATCAAAGTATGTCTCTTTAACTGCTTCCCATACTATGAAAAACTAAGAGTGAAACTGAATGTATATTGAAAAATTGCTCATAAAGAATTATGCAAGGACTTTAGGTTTATATACAACTAATTAGTGGGTAAACTATGAAACTAAATCTTCCTAAAAACTGATCTTATAATTGAGGGATTGTTTATCCTAATTTTTTGTCCTTAATTTTAGGGATACAAATACTTAATTCTAGGGATATAAATATAAATTATAGATTACAAGATTACAATCAGCTGTAAATATGTGTTTTCCCACACTCCCCCTCAAGCTGGTAACTAGGTGTTTTCCATTCCCAGCTTGGAAATAATTTCTTGAAATGTTGTACTACTGAAACCTTTAGTCAACACATTTGCAAGTTGACACATACGGTGTACAAATCAACCCACTATCTAGTTTGTCCTTTATGAAATATCGGTATACTTCAATGTGTTAGTTCTATCATGTTGCACAGGATTGTGTGCAATGCTTATTGCAGACTTGTTATCACAGTAAAGTATCATTGGTCCATCTCACTTGATCTTCAAGTCTTCTAGGATAATCTTTAACTATAGTAGTTCACAAATTCTTTGAGCCATTGCTTTGAACTCTGCCTTAGCACTTGATCTTGCCATCACATTTTATTTTTACTCCTCCAAGTCACAAGATTACCACCTAGGAAAATGCAGTAGCCTGAGATGGATCTTCTATCAGTTACTGAACCTGCATAATCAGCATCTGTATATGTCTCTATAACCAGCCCGAAATTTCTTTGAATAATATATCTCTTCTAGGATTGGCCTTTAAATAGTGCAATACATGGTAGATAACTTATAGGTGCACTTCTTTAAGACTATGCATAAATTGACTTATCACTCTCACAATATATGTTATATCAGGTCTAGTATGTGAGAGATAAATAAGTCTTCCAACTAATCTTTGGTACATCTTTCTATTTACAGCAGTATTTTTTTAGCTTCTCCAAGTTTATGATTAGGATCTATAGGGCATTAGCAAGTTTACATACGAGCTTCTTAGTTTTGTTCAAAAGATCCATCACATATTTTTGTTGTGAGATGAAAATACCATGCAGTGAGTGAGCTACTTCAATTCCTAGGAAGTACTTCAATCTCCTTAGCTCTTTTATCTCAAATTCACTAGCCAAACATTGCTTTAGAGATTCTCTTTCTTTTCCATCATCTCCAGTTACAATTATATCATCAGCATACACTAATAGAACTGTGACTCTCCCTAAATTAGAGTGCTTGATAAACAATATGTGATCTCCTTGACTCTGCTTATATCCCATTGCTAGCATCACTTCGGCAAATCTCCCGAACCAAGCCCTAGGAGATTGTTTAAGGTCATATAAAGCCTGTTTCAACTTGCATACTTTGTTTACTTCTAAATGACCTCTAAATCTCGGTGGAACCTTCATATATATTTTTTCTTCCAAACCACCATGTAGAAAAGCGTTCTTTACATCAAATTGTTGAAGCTGCCAATTGTAATTTATAGCCAATGATAATAAAATCCTAACTGTATTCATCTTGGCAATTGGAACAAAAGTTTCCTGATAATCCACTCCATAAGTTTGAGTGTAGCCCTTAGCCACTAACTTACCTTTATACCTTTCAACAGTACCATTCGTCTTGTATTTTACAGTGAAAACCCATTTATACCCAACTAGATTTTTTCCTTTAGGCAACTCTACCAATTTTCATGTCTTATTTTTCTCTAAGGCCTCCATTTCTATTTTCATGGCTTGCTTCCCTTTCTCATTGGATAATGCCTCAAATAATGTAGTTGGAACATAAATAGTATTTAGGCTCACAAGAAAAATTTTGTAAGATGGTGAGAATTTTTCAAATGACACAAAATTAGAGATTGGTATAGTGGATGCTTAGTACATTCTTTGGTTCCTTTCCTAATGACAATAGGCAAATCATAATCACTAGTTATAGTTTTAGGAGAGTCATGGGCATTTTGAGAAACAGAGTCAAAGACTATAGTTACCTCATTTTCAGAGTTAGGATAGGTTCTTGGACTGATACTGGTTTAGGATCTAGAACTTTTCTTCTTTAGCACGCCTATAATTCCTTCATAGAATCAAGAACAATATTATCCTTTGTCACATCTTCTGTGTTTGGAATGGGTTCAGACTCAAATTCAATGTTTAACTTAGACTCAGAAGAATTAATAGGTGAAAATGTTGAAGAATAGGACAAATCTTATCTTCCATGAATGAAATCCCCCCCTGAAGATAAGGTTGAGTAAAAAATAGTTTATGTTCTTCAAAAGTGACATCTACAAACACATAGAATTTTTTGGTAGAAGGATAATAACACTTGTACCCTTTCTGAGTTGATGAATATACTACAAAAATGTACTTAATTGATCTAGGATCCAACTTTTCCCTATTGTGATTGTGAACATGAACAAATGATGTACAATCAAATATCCTAGGTGTGAGGTTGTTTGTGGCATTAAAGTGGGGATAGAATTGTGAGAGCAGTTCCATAGGAGTTTTAAATCCCAAAACCCTTGAAGGTAACCTATTTATAATATGTGTGGCAGTGAGAACAGCTTCCCCGCCGTAGGATTTGGGTACGTTTACTTGAAAAAGTAAAGCTCGGGTTGTGGCTAGTGAATGTTTTTCCTTTTTGCCACTCCATTATGCTGTGGAGTATTAACACAAGATGACTTATAGATAATCCCCTCCTTTTGAAAATAGGTAGATAAACTTTGGTTGAAATAGTCTATTGCATTATCAAACCTAAATCTCTTGATTTTCACTCCAAATTGATTCTGGATCATGTTTTGGAAGCTTAAAAACACACTATTCACATCTGATTTAGATTTAAGTAAAAATAACTATGAGACCTTGGTACAATCATCTATGAAAGAAACGAACCACCTTGCATCCGAAATATATTTGAAATTGTAAAAGGACCCCATATGTCACTATGAATCAAGTAAAATGGAGTAAAACTTCTTTTATTGCTAATTGAAAAAGACACACGCCTATGCTATGCAAGTTCACAAACATCACAATGAAAATTGTTGGCATTTAATCCTTTGAACAAATAAGGAAACATGTGTTTCAAAGTTCCAAAAGAAGGATGTCTAAGATGAAAATGATAAAGTCGGATTTTGTCTTTATTGGGAGATTTTTCAGAAAGAAATGAAAAAGGTAAACTATTCTTGATATTACTTGTGTTGTTTGATGTCTCAAGATAGTGTAGTTTATCCTTCTCCTTAGTAAGTCCAATCTTTTTCCCTGAACTCTGGTTTTGAAATTCACAATAAGAGGGATAAAAAGTTACTTTGCAGTTCATATCTCTGGTAAGTTTTTGTATAGATATCAGATTAGTAGACAATCTAGGAACATGAAGAACATTTTTAAGAACATTTTTAAGAACAAACAAGAGATTAATGTGAACATCTCCTAATCCTACCAAAGTGAACCATCTGCAACAACAATTTTTTTATTACCAGGACACAGGGTATATGTACTAAACTTCTGTGAGGAATGTGTCATATGGTTTGTGGCTCCTGAGTCAATGACCTAAGAACTTGTAATAGGCTTAATCGAGACATTTAATCCATGAGAACTAGAAGTTTTACCTGAACTAGATATCTTACTCAAGGAACATAACCCAGTAGGCTTTTCAAGGGTTTTCAATAAGCTTCTCAACTTCTTAATCTCTTTTCTGTCCAACTCTCCTTGTTTCTGAGACATTTGTAGTACTTCGATGATTTTCCTAGTTTACACTTCCTCAAATTGGATGGTAGTGATATCTTTTTTTGAACTGAAACAAATCTTAAGATATAACCAAAAATGACTCATAGCAATGAAGGCTAAAGAAGGAAAAAATAAAACGGCTACGAAGGCCTTAACAGGGTTCGGCAATGAAGGCCTAAAATAGAAGTCAGAATGAAGGTTGAAAATTTTGCTTCCCATGAAGAGCCTAAACCTCTGATAACATGTGAAAAACTAAGAGTAAAACTGAATGTATATTGAAAAATTGCTCATAAAGAATTATACAAGCAACTTAGGTTTATAAACAACTCGCTAGTGAGTAAACTAAAAAACGAAATCTTCCTAAAAAGTGATCCTACAATTGAGGGATTGTCTATCCTAATTTTTTGTCCTTAATTCTATGGATACAAATATAAATATACAGATTACAATATTACAATCAACTGTAAATAAGTGTTTTCCCATACATCTCTTGCAGTTGGCCAAAACAAATAGGTTTTTCCAATCGTTGGCTTTATGGAATTTACAAGCCACTCAATCACTAAAAGATTCTTAGATCTCCATGTCTTCAATCTTGGGTCATTGTTAGTTGGTTTCATGATCTCGCATGTCAAATGGCCAAGTTTTCCCTTGCCATCAATCTTGAGCTTCATTGATTGCGCCCATCTAGATAATTTTTACCATTTAGTTTGTGAACGGTCAATTGGATAGATGGATTTTCAAATCCATTAATATTTACGGCAGAAACACCTCCACTAACAGCACCTGCGGATGCTATGCCCTTTTGTCCAGTCATGGTTGTTTTGACCATCTTGAATTTTGAGTGAAATGCCTAAGCTTTGATACTATGTGAATAGAACAGAGGAGAAAGAGAAGATAACTTCTTATTAATTAATAAGAGAGTTACAAAGATTTAAATAGACTAAACTTTAAAATGTAAAATTTAACTTTCTATCTACCTTAGCATAATTCTAGGAACTAAATAACAACCTAATCACCTAAAAATCCAAATCTATTAACATTGAACAGTTTAGATTTTATAACAAAAAATCCTGATATTTATACAGGACCATTTCAGATTTGGCCTCTTAAATAAGATGCTTTTAAGAAGCATCATCAATTTGGAGATCTCTATTAGCTCAACCAAATATGAAGAAAGTTTAGCCTGGCTCATTTTATAATGTAATCAGTTCCTTTTTGCAGGAAGGATGTAAGGGTCTATTGTATATGGTACTTCATGCACGAGTTGTTTTAGATCTGCATGAAGAACTTGAACAAGAGATCAGTTTTGAGCAGGTTGAAGGGGATTTTGACTCATTTCAAGGAAGATGGCTTCTAGAGCAACTTGGAAGTCATCACACACTACTGAAGTACTCTGTGGAGTCAAAAATGCACAGAGATTCCCTTCTTTCTGAAGCTATCATGGAAGAGGTATGTAAATTATGCACTCTAATGCATTCTGCTTTTCATTTTTCACCGACTGTCTAGTTCCTATTCTACAGTTAATGTATCCAATGAAGGATTGTAAGTGTAACTGGAAAACAAATGTTTGAGTGTAAAGAACTAAAGATTTTTTTTTTTTTTTCTAAACTCTTGTTACTTGGTGCATGTTTACTTGAACCATGGAATAAGAATTGCTCTGTGTTGAGTACCCTGGTAGAATGTTTTTGAAATAGCAGCCTTTCTTGACCTTCGAACTTAGATTTCACGAAATCATAAACTACATATAACTCATTCTACTTATATAGATAAAGACACTACTTTCCAATGCAGTCATACCTTGTAGCAGATAACAATCCAAATGAATATGCAAAAGTCATGGATTGATGTCAACATTTATGTTTGCATAATGAGTTTATACGAACTCTTGTACAACTTTATGTGAATATCCATAATTCTTTATTTCTGGCCAACAAATATCCGTAATTTAATCCTCATGAGAAATGTAATTTGTCCTTCTTGTACCTGCAATACATGTTTGTTTTAGAACCAAATTTAGAAGCCTACAAGGTGTGTTGCGAGATAATTGTTCTCCTTCCAAGGAAGAGTCTCCACCCTTGTGGGAATATATGAAAGACAGGATCGTAGGCATCCTTGTGGTTCCTTAACTATTGTAAAGGGGAAAAAGGAGTCTCATCCCTTAATATTTTTGGCCATTTTGTTGATTTATTTTGTACATACACGTTTTTCATTTTCAAAAGAAAGAACCCATTAAAAGAATATTGATGTTTTACTCTTCTGACCTTGTAGGTTATATATGAAGATCTACCATCCAATTTATGTGCAATTCGAGATTATGTTGAAAAAAGAGTGGCACAAATTTCCTTGGAAACACATGAAAACCGACAACTTTCGGGGCAACAAACTTCCTCCTCCAGCAACGACAATGAAACAGACTATAGTGATACTACTGAGAAGGATTTGGATTCCATTAGTGCTAATTCGCTTAGACAAAGACCTAGAGTTCCGGGCTTGCAAAGGGATGTTGAAGTCCTCAAAACTGAGCTCCTGAAATTTATATCTGAACATGGACAGGAAGGATTTATGCCCATGAGAAAGCAACTTCGTTTGCATGGCAGAGTGGATATTGAGAAAGCGATCACACACATGGGTGGATTTAGAAGGATTGCGTCATTGATGAATCTCTCCCTTGCATACAAACAACGCAAACCAAAGGGCTATTGGGACAACCTTGAGAATCTACAGGAGGAGGTGGATTGTTTTTGTGAACGTTTCAAGTGATTGATCATAGTAGTTTTTCTATTTAACTCAATATTCTAGCCCCATACACAAGAGGCAATCAGTCAAATGAAATTGGAAAGCATGCATGTCTTGATGGAATGCATTTTTTCATCCTCGTTAAAAATATCAAATGGTAGAAAGTTATTGCAGTACAGAATCATAATATGTACAAGTTGATGATCATAAACTACCTAATTGGCCATTTTTACCTTTCAGATTAGCCGATTCCAGAGGAGCTGGGGGATGGACCCTTCATTTATGCCCAGTAGAAAGTCTTTTGAGCGTGCAGGTATTTCAATTGTGGTACAGTTGCTTGCATTCTAACTATAGGTTGCTTTAGCTTTATGTTCTGGATTATTAGCATCAAATATTTGGTGTCACTGTTGTCTTCCATCAACCCCAGCAATTTAACGTACTGGAAAGTAGTTTTACAGAGAAGCATGCGAAATGCTTCTGCTACGTAGTAGTTAAGAGAAGAAAACTATTCGCATTAAATAGTCTAAGAACTTTACTGAGAGCGAATGAAATAATTTCTCTTTTCTGTTTAATTTGAATGGTTATAGGGCGTTATGACATCGCACGTGCATTGGAGAAATGGGGGGGTCTTCATGAAGTTTCTCGTCTACTGTCTCTCAAGGTGAGACAGAGACACCCCACCCGCAGACAGCCGCAAACTACTGCCAAGGAAAAACCGATTGACAACATAGCAAGCAGTGATAAAGAAAGTGAAGAGAAGGCTCCAATATCGAAGCCATATATTTCGCAAAATACACAAAAGTGGCTCACAAAGCTAAAAGATTTGGACATTAATTGGGTTGAATGAATGTGTACGTAGTACTACTACTTTTCTCCAAATTTTTTAACGTCTCTCTCTGCTTCTTTTTGCTTATCTTCTTTCTATCATGCTGCTAATCGGACAAAGATTTAATGGTTTTTGAGGCTACTAGCTATGAAGACAGTTATCATGAGCGAGTTAAGTTGACAAGGATAAGGATAATTAATAAGCTTGTGACCAACCCAGGGTCGGGGAAGTGTAGATATTTAATTTTGGTTATTAATATTTTATTTTTATAAATTTTTTTAAGTTATTAAAGTTGAGGATAAGTAAAAAAAAGTAATAAAATTATTTTAGTGAAAGTTATTATACGAAATAAGTGATAACACTATTTTAATGAATTATTTTACGGAACAGTTATTTATTGAATAATCTTTTTACAGAATAATTATTTACGGAACAACTATTTAAGGAATAATTCATTCATGGAACAATATTTTTATGAAACAATTATGTTTAGAACAACTTTTTCAAAAAACAATATCAACATTTTTATTGAAAATTTTTTCACAAAAAGTTACTTCACTAGAGTTATTTTACAAAAAACGTTTAACCGAATGTTATTTTACAAAATAAAAATGTGAAAATAACCTTGGAATATAACAGGGTTCTTAGGTTAATTTTATTATTAAGATATTTCAAATTAATTTCACTATTAAGATATTTCAAAAAGTTTAGTTTGGTGGATCATATATGGAGATAATTAAGAGATTTCATCTTAATCTTTCTTTGAAATATGGGTGTTTTTCTTTTTCTCTTTTTCCTTTAGAACAAATAGTGAATTTTATGTTCACTATATATGTCATTAAAAGCTAATTAAACTCTTATTAGACAATGCATAAACACTTTTTGTAATTATCAATTTCATCATTATTCCATTCAATATTCAAGATATGTAACTCTTATTCTTGAACCTATAAATAGGAGTTTTTGCAATTCATTGAAAACTTTTGAAACTTTGGTAGATTTTTCATAACTTTCTCTCAAACTCTCTCTGTAATCTTATCTTTTTAAATCTTTCTTTTAGCCCTATTCTCTTCTCGACTTAGTCTTATTTCACTACCTATCATCACTTGTCGTTGCACTTAATACTCAAGATATATAACTCCTATTCTTGAACTTTATAAATAGGAGTTTTTACAATTCATTGGGAACTTTTGGGACTTTGGCAAATTTCTCACAACTTTCTTTGAAACTTTCTTTGCAATAATCTCTTCCTAAATCTTTCTTTCAACTTTATTCTCTTCCTGACTCAGTCTTATTTCATCACCTATTACCATCTGTCACTGCACTTAATACTTTAGGATCTGTTTTAATCTTTCTTTCTATCGTCTCTTGACATATCTTGTTCTACTTGTTTGTAATGCTTTCTAACCTCAACAAAAAACCCCTTTACATTTTGACAACCCCGTTGGGAAAAAATGATTACATTGGGTTGAACTTCACCGGAGACATAATATGAGCCACTTTGTTAGATATAAAAATCCAAATGCCACAAGAATACTTAATGGTGGAGCAATAATCTAGTTAGAACGTTAATTCTTTCATATTAGAAGTTTAATTAGTTACAAATATTTTAATCTTCACTTTTTACTATTTTTCAACTAACTAAGCATTTTTTTTACTATTATTATTTAGTACATACACGTTTAAGAATTTCAATTAATTGATAAAAAGCTTAACATGAGAAAAATGAAAAGCCAACAAATGTAGATTCCAATGCATGCTTCTTTATCAAATATTGCAAAAGTGATGAAAATATTTACCTTTCTATAACTTTAAGGAAAAAGTCATTACCTTAAACTGTGTTGAGAGTTTTTTTTAATTGTACATGAGATTAATGTTTAAAATCAAATTGAGATACAAAGTTAATATGGCCGTCATGTTGAATCAACTTTTAATGGCCGCAATTTAACACATCTTTCTTTGAATTAAATTAATTTCCTTAGTATAAGTTGAGAAAAAAATATATGCTTAATACATAATGGAGTTTGATCACTTTATTTTTGGGTTGAGAATTCACCTCCCTAGTCAAATTGAGAATCACTTCTTGGTTGTAGCTTTATCACTCATTCTTTGGCCGTTACTATATTATTCATATTTGCTATCAAATAAACCTTTTTAGTACCAAGTTGATGATTATCTCCAAATTGAAAATTGTTTTTTGGCTATAGCTATATTGCTTATTCTTTGGCCACAATTTTATTGTTCATACTTACTATCAAATAAGTTCACTTGATATCAAGTTGAGAATTATCTCTCTCTTATAAATTAAAAATACGATTATTGGTCGCAATTTTATCGCTTATTTCTTGGCCTTAATCTCATAAGTACTATGATGTAAATCATTTTGATAATTTTTGGCTGCAGCTTCATTGCTTTTATTTGGATTAAACATCTCATTTGTATTGTGTTGAGAAGTTATATTCCTAATATAAAGTAGAGAGCTCTCCTTCGCCGCACATACAATTAGGGTTATTATTATAAATATTACCACCTTCATAAGTGGAAGTATTACAATTACAATTACAATGCAATACTAATATTATTAAGATTTTTCGAACACAAAAGTTGAAAAAGCTCATGAGTACTACATCATATACATATTATTATATCACATATTTTTTATATGTTAAGTTTACCTTGCTACAAAAGTAATCTGCATATGAAATGTTTAAAAATTTTTAGGAATATAGTGGAGCAAAAATGCGTAGTGCATACATATGATTATACAAATTTGAAAGAATAGTTAATTCCAAACTTGAAAATTTTCTTAAAAAAAATCTTCCTAAAGGAAGCGAAACATTTTAAATCTTACTATTTCATTTCGTTTCCGTAGAAGTTCTTCCAATAAAAAGTATTATGGTCTTTTACTATTTTTGTCACTATCACATATCAAATATTTCAAAAAGAAAATTTTGTGGCATTGTATCATTCTCTTTTGTTAACTATTCCCAATAAACAAAATTTTGATGTTCTGATCTCTTCAGTTTCTTCTATCACTCTTCTAAAAAGAGAAAGTTTCATGCTGCTCTCATGTAGAAGTTTTTCTTAAAATGAAGTTGATTGATATAGTATTTTTTACTACTACATTATCTTATATACAAGAACTTAAAAAAATTTTTGATCATTAAAATCTTTTATATTATTTCCTTATTGCTACAATTTTACTCTTATATAAAAATTCTTCTAAAAGAAACCAATTGACAATTGAAATCTCTTGCATATTTTTTATTGTGAAAAACTTTTTGTGCAATAGCTCAAAAAACATCATCATTATCTCAAGAAATGTTTCACTCATACTTCACATCACTTTAAGATTTTTTTTTAAAAAAAGTTGCATTTCTTGCATTATTCCAAGAAATGCTTTTTAAAAAATGCTTCTTGTTTAACATTTTAAGATAGCTTTTATGTGTCATTTTTAAGAATTACTTCTTTTATACACAACATCATAAAAAATTATTTTTGTAGCTATTTATCTAGGAAACACGTAGCCAATAATTGTGTTTCATTTAAAAAGGTATTTCTTAAGAAGAGAATTTCATGCATAACTTTAAAAGATCTTTTCATAATAATTTTTTATGACCTATCTTATAATATATATTCCATGCATTACTCAAATAAACAATTCTTGTTTTAAAAAAAATTCTTTTGATGTACCCTCTTGATATCTTAATAAGTATTACACATTTATTTTTATGAAAGTTGTTTCTTATTATTCAGAAGTATTCTTAAAATATTCATACATATTTTTAAGAGATGCTTCTCTTGAAATGCTTATCATTACCTATCATTTTTTTAAAAAATATCTCTCATTCATACTTTTATATTGAAATGCTTTTTTACATCTAAATGATGATTCCTAATAATGAAATTGCCATGTGTTGTTCCAAGAATTATTTTTGCCCATAACTTTTGAGAAGTACATTTTTTGCATTTTTACAAGGAACGCTTCCTACATTTTAAGGGATGATTGTCAAGAAATATATATTATTTATTTATGTATAATTCAAATAAAATCTACCTAAGAAACGTTTGTTACCTAGCATTTTTTTTTTTTAATTAACAAGCTACTTTAAAAGCCACATCTTATGCACTCTCTAAAATGTATTTAAAAAAAATAATGATGTACATTATGTTTTTCTTATAAGAACTATATTGTTTCAACAAGTGTTTCATAGCATTTAAAAAAATATTTTTCTTTAAAAAGTGATTCTTATATATTATTTTACTAAACTCTTCTCGTTATAAAAAGAAATCCCAAACTGTTAGCATATTATCTTAAGAAACGATTCATAAGCAGAACTATTCTTTAAAAGAAAAAGTAATTCAATTTATTAGGTGCCTTTTAGTTATCTTGATTTTTTTACAAAAACTAATTTTCATTGCTTATTCTCCTAAACAATACTTGATTTATTTTACAATATTTATTCTTTTATTTTTTAGAGAAATATTCTCATTACTTCTTCTTTTATTTTTTAGGAAAACATTCGCATTACTTGTTTTCCTATTTTTAACACTCTCATTACCTATTTTTTTAGTTTTTTTTTAAGTACTTATATTACTTGTTTTTTTTTTTTTTTAGAAAAACATTCTGACTACTTGTTCTTTTATTATTTTAGGAAACATATGCATTACTTGTCCTTTTTTTTTTTTTTAAGAGAAACACTCTTATTACTAATTTTCTTAAATTTTTTTTGGGAAACACACCCTTACCTACTTTTTTTAATAATTTTTTTATTTTTTAAGGAAACACTCCCATCATCTATTCCTTTTGATAATTTTTCTATTTTTTAGGAAAACACTCCTATTATCTATTCCTTTTGACCATTTTTTTTTATTTTTTTAAGAAAACACTCATTTACCTATTCATTTTAATAATTTTCCTATTTTAAAAAAAAAAACATTGTCATTACTTATTCCTTTTAATAACTTTTCTATTTCATTAGAGAAACACTATCACCACATATTCCTTTTGATAGTTCTACTATTTTTTTTGGGAAATGCTTTAATCAATGCTTTTTTATAATTTTTTTTTTTTGAAAACACAATCATCTAACAAGTAATTTTTTATTTATAAGATTAAAATTTATTTATTTTATACGTGAAACATTCTTTGACCTTTATCAAAGAAATTCCATGTAGGGGACAATGAATCCACCCATGCGTAATGTGTAGTCAAAATATA